AGATAAAAGCATTGAGATACAATCTCATTTTCAATGCTGACCTGGCCAAGAAGTTAGCAACGTTACACATAACACATAACACACACATATAAAAGAGAACATAACTAAGAAAACAAAAGACAAAAAAGCAGTCACTACATTGTGAATATGATATATTAGATAAATAATTTCTAAGTAGCAGCCAGATGAATGTTATGGATGTTGTTTCTAAGTTCAGGTGTTTAATAATCTTATAGCCTGTGGGATGAAGCTGTCCCTGAGTCTGGTGGTTTTAGTCCGGATGCTGCGGTACCGCCTGCCAGACGGCAGCAGACAGAACAGTTTGTGGCTGGGGTGATGGGGGTCTTTTATAATCCTGAGGGCTTTCTTTAAGGTTAACCTGGTATTTTTACTCCACTACATTTATTTTAGTTACTTTACAGATTTGGATTAATGATGTGAAATATAAACAACCCTTAAATCAGACTTTAGTTACACCTGAGTAAAATTCAGTGAAGGTGATTGTCAAGTGCCAACAATCAGGAGAGATAGTTGATAGTTGGTGCTCGAGAAGACTAAACATTTATCTGCAGATCCGTATAAAGCATATTCATTACTCGTTATTCTCTAATCGTTCATTAAAGACTGCATATAATTGATATTTGCACATCCCTTTCAAGATTTCAAGATTTTCAAAGGTTTATTGACATATCATATACACAACTACGGTGTAGTTATGCAATGAATGAAAAACTTGGGTCACAGGTTCCTCAACAGTGCATTACAAGACATCTATCAATATGTGTGTACCTCCACCATTAAACTGTCATATTCTGCACATTTCTTATACTATCTACATAAGAGTATAATTAATGTGTATAATATCAGTTAAAATAAATGCTTCAACATAGTTAACATTGCAGGAAAGTTGATTGTCAAGTTCCAAAACAAACCATGCAATATATTAGACGTTAAGCACTTTGTCAGGCTTAATATGTATCTGTAGATAGATACCCCCAAAGCTTTTTTCTTATTTAAAAGAAGACCTTAGCCTAAAGTATTCTTTAATGTTTAAATAAAGCCTTATTAGTTTGTCTGTTTTGCACATCCTCCTATCAGGCACTAAACTGTTTTATTATAGATATTATTTACAGTATCTTCTTGATATTTTCTATTCTATATTTATATCATTGACCTTCTACTTTCCCACTATTTTGTATGTACTCTTAATATTTAAATGTTTTCATCAAATATAACACATTCAAAAGTGCTTTACAAAAATGAAAGACATTAAGAAAAATGCATTTTAAACAGTCATTAAAAAGCAACATAATCTTCCTGCATTGCAATTACTCCAAACGTGTAATAACGTGCTTTAACCAGTAGGAGGTGCGGGTTAAAAAACTGTCAAGTTTAAAGTGTTAACAAAATAAAATATATTGCTGTTTCTGGTTTAGTTTACGACGGATATATTTTGTTATTGTTTTGATATTTGTAACAAAAGCGATGGAAAAAACCCATAGTAACACAGAAAATATGGTCTTAACATGACCCAGTGGTCTAGTAGTTAATAAAAAACAATAATATCAAAACAGATTATTACTACTAACTTTATTGTGAAATTAAAACAGAACGGTAAAAGAATAGTTTCCGGTCTATTCTGATGCCCGATCTCTGTAGATAAATAAAGAACTACGATAGATGTGTAATATTTAATGCAGCCAAACCATTTATTACAATGCATTAATGTGATGACTTTCAAAGAATAAAGCAAGCACTGCTGAATAAAGTATGATTTTATCTTTTACGAAACGTTTTTTTTTTCATATGGAATGCAGTTGGAGGTCAACCAATCACAGAGCTTGAGGACTGATCACGGGGTTTGTCAAACAGAGCACATGGTGTAGTCCCAAACGATAGCTGAGGATTCTGGGTAGTGTAGTGTCTTCTGCCATCCAAAAACTCCGAACAAATATTCGTTTCTCCGAATCGAAGGGGAAAATACAAAAGCATTGCACACAATTTAAACCAATCAATGTTGTGTAATTAACAAGGATAATCTGGTGTTTTTGAGTTGATGAGTAGTTCAGATATCACTGTAAAATCAATCGACAGTAAGGAGAATACTTACTTCCGGGTGTAAAATCCTCCGTTATCCAATGGGAATGGATGCTCGTAATACAATAAAGGGGACATGATCATTATCTTTTAAATAACGTTAACTAAAGGGAACAATCTATTGACACAGCTGAAGCTCTGGCCTTCCTTAAAAACTAACTAATTTAATAAAAATCACAGTTGTATTACACACAATGCACTGTTTTTTGAGAACAAAAATGTGTGACTAATGCACCATAATACATTCTGACGACAAATAAAAATTATTATGAATACAAATAAAATAAAAGAAGCCTCCTGTGAGTTACTACAAGCTATAAAGTAGATTTAAATTTTTATAGAATAAAAGCTCACTGCGGGACGTTGTAGAAATGCGTGTGTGCACCACAACAAAAGAGCCTCATTCACTTTACATTGGGGTTTTTTGCGTGGTGCCGACACGTAAATGTAGCAGAATGCGTGACTCCACCACGCAATGCGGTGTTAAGGTTGCGTGGTGGAGTCACGCATTCTGGTGAGATCAGGTTGGTCGAGAACCTTCTGGCAGCGCACCCGACCCCATCGCTGTTTCCCGTAGGTGGTGGGCCCGCGGGACGGAGAAGCGGAGGTGTTGCCCACGTTGCCTTTTCGGGCTGTGCCCGGCCGGGCTCCGTGGCAAGCCCGACCATCAGACGCTCGCCGACGAGTCCTCCTTATGGGCCTGGCTCCAGAAGGGGACCCCGGGCTTCCTCCGGGCCGGGTATCCTCACTTCCTGGTTTTTCTTTCATGAGGTCTTTTGAACCAATCTAAGTCTGGCCCCTTGCCTGAGACCAATTTGCCATGGGAGACCCTACCAGGATCACAAGGTTCCAGACAACACAGCCCCCAGGTTCATCAGGGCACACAAACCTCTCTACCACGGTAAGGTGCTGGTTCTTCTTCCTTCTGTCAAGCGACTTTGTTAACTACATTGAAAAAAAGGTTGATGATATTCGCTCTTCTTTTTCTGACTCACCTTTACTCACCACTGGGTCACCAGACCCCCCCTTCACCCACACACTAACCTCCTTCTCTCCTCTCTCTCCAAGTGAGGTTCTTACCCTCATTATCTCTGCCCGTCCTACCACCTGTCCTCTTGACCCTAGCCCCTCAAACCTCCTTCAGACTATCGCTCCTGATATTCTACCGTTTCTCTCCCATTTCATCAACACTTCTCTAACTTCTGGTCACTTTCCAAACAGTCTCAAGGAGGAGAGAGTAAACCCTCTCCTAAAGAAACCCACTCTCAACCCGTCTGATGTTATAAACTACAGGCCTGTCTCTCTCCTCCCGTTCCTGTCTAAAACACTTGAACGCGCTGTCTTTAAACAACTCTCCTGTTATCTCCATCAGAACAACCTTCTGGATCCGCACCAGTCTGGTTTCAAGGCAGGTCACTCAACAGAAACTGCCCTCCTTGCTGTCTCTGAGGAACTGCACACTGCTAAAGCAGCCTCCCTCTCCTCTGTCATCATCCTTTTGGACCTGTCTGCTGCATTCAACACGGTGAACCATCAGATCCTCCTTCGCACTCTCCAAGAACTTGGAGTTTCAGGCTCTGCACTTTCCCTCCTCACCTCATACCTCGAAGACCGCACCTACAGGGTAACTTGGAGAGGGTCAGAGTCCGACCCTTGTCAATTAACTACAGGGGTCCCTCAGGGCTCTGTCCTTGGTCCCCTCCTCTTCTCTCTGTACACAAACTCACTCGGATCTGTCATTAGCCCGCATGGTTTTTCATACCACTGCTACGCTGACGACACCCAATTAATTCTGTCCTTTCCCCGCTCAGAGACCAAGGTCGTCGCACGCATCTCTGCTTGTCTAGCTGACATCTCTCAGTGGATGTCTGCTCACCACCTCAAGCTCAACCTTGACAAGACTGAACTGCTTTTCTTCCGGGAAAAGATTGTCCCACTCTTGACCTGACAATCAACATCGGCACCTCTGTTGTTTCCCCGACTCAGACTGCAAGGAATCTGGGTGTGACCCTAGATAACAAACTGTCCTTCACTGCAAACTTCGCTGCTACAACCTGCTGCTGCAGATACACACTTTACAACATCAGGAGGATACGTCCACCCCTGACCCAGAAAGCGACGCAGCTTTTGGTCCAGGCTCTCGTCATCTCACGCCTAGACTACTGCAACTCCCTCCTGGCTGGTCTACCTGCATGTGCCATCCGACCTCTGCAGCTCATCCAGAATGCAGCGGCTCGTCTGGTCTTCAACCTTCCTAAATGTTCCCACACCATGCCGCTCCTCCGCTCCCTTCACTGGCTTCCGGTAACTGCTAGAATCCACTTCAAGACAATGGTACTTGCGTACCATGCTGCGAATGGATCTGGCCCTTCCTAAATCCAGGACATGGTTAACCTGTACACCCCGCACTGCGAGGGGGACCCAAGTTCCCATCAGCAAAAACACGTGGGTTTGCTATCCTGGCTCCAAGATGGTGGAATGAGCTCCCCATTGACATCAGGACAGCAGAAAGCTTACACATCTTCCGGCGCAGACTGAAAACTCATCTCTTTCGACTCCACTTCGAGCAATATAATTACTAACAAAGCACTTATATACTAATAAAGGACTGGTTTATCTATAGCCAGTTGAGTAGCACTTGAAATGTTTTAGCACTATGAAACCTGATGTACTTATATGATTCTGTTTTCTTCAAGGTTGTATCTTGTTGGTCGAACGCACTTATTGTAAGTCGCTTTGGATAAAAGCGTCAGCTAAATGTAATGCTGTAGACCAGCTTGTAGAGAACTGTCACTACGAACACAGCATTGTGTCCTGTTACTCTTACATTAGCATCAGTTACACATAGGTCTCTGTAATACCCCATCAGTCACAGTTATCAGTCCATTCTTGTCCTCCTCTAGGACTTGAAAGAAGAGTGTGTGAAGCTGCGGACCCGTGTGTTTGACTTGGAGCAGCAAAACCGCATACTGAGTGTTCTGTTTCAACAACGTGTCAAGATGTCCACGGCTCCTGTCTCCCAGGTAGGAACGCATGGCAAAATGGATACAAACAGGCTCCGACAGGCCACGCTGCTGGCTGCAATGCCGTTTGAATTTTACATGAGCAGTGCACTACTTCTAAAGGTTACTAGCTGGGAAAAAGGACTAGAAGGAGAGAGAAACCCTTCATGGTGTAATTCAATTTAAATCGTTGTGCAGATTAATGTCAGATTCTGAATTGGAAATAGAATAATTTGGGTTTACTGTTCTTCCATTCTTTGCTACTGTGGTTAGTGTCATAGTGGCATGTATAGTGCACTGTTGGTCATCAGCACTGTCTTTTTTTATGTTAATCCTGTCAGAATTTAGCCTAATAGTGTGCTAGACCTCTCGTCCATCTGGAAAGCTCTCTCAACACCACCCGGGGGATAATAGCTGAACTCCTGGGCCTCCGTTAATGTTAGGCATCATATTCAGTTGTCAAGCTTCACCACTGCACTGGAGAGCTTCAAAGCTGCGCTAATTAATATTTCTATATACAAAAAAAGTATTCGTTAACTTTGTCTTCCTGGGTGGGTGTTATCATAGTGACCCACAGTGAATGATCACACAACTCTGCACTTACTCTCAGCTCGTTGTTCTGTTTTGGTGTGCAACCTTAGCCGTTAATAGCATTTTATGCTTCATGCCCAGCACCAACGAGCCAACAGAAAGGGTTAACACCTAGCTGGTAGACATGTGGAAGCATTGAGCAACTTAAGAACAGGATATTTCTGTCGTGAGAAGGTGGACACCAACACCAGAGGTGAAATGAGACTGAACATTTAACTTTTATTGGAGAAGTGGTCCAAACACAACTACAAATAAATGTGTGAATGGGCAATCATTCGCAATATGTTAGCAATAAAAACGATATGGTCAGGATTGAAGATAGGGTTTATAACTTGTACTACTGTCTTTCCAGCCAGCGCTGACATTTAGAAGTGACCGATTTCAATCCATTTTGACCGATTTCCAAATATGAATGCTTTATATCCATTCATAATAATAGTATATTTCACTCCGTATACAAAAGATTGTTTCCAAAACTAAACTTGAAAGGTGTTTCATAACTAAGTGTGGTGGCTCAATCCCCAGTTACGTTTGAGTAAACTTGGCTATAAACTGTGACGCGTTCTCGAAGAGAAAGTCCATATTGAAGCAATATAGTTTTAAGGGTATTTAATAAACAAAATCAAAACATAGTAACTATGGACAAAACGGTCAACAGAAAAAATGACAGCACAAGCTCACCCTCTGTCGTCCCACTCGACATGAAACAGGTGACTTAAATAGACAAACCACACCCATGTGACAATTACCGGAAGTGCTCAACAAACAAATAAAAGTGACATAAACAAATAATAATAATACAAATAATGAACTTGGGCTAAGTAGCATTATGGCACCTACAGTAAGTCTTTCCTCACTATATTTGTAATGACTAGGTTAGCTAAGTTAGCTAGCTAGCTTACAGCAGATCTGCAGTAACATCAGAAGGAGTCATGTCATGTGATCACATTGTTAAAATAAAATAAGACCATCAAACATTTTAGGGAAGTTTCCAACAACAGAGGCAGTTGTCCAGCTTTATAATCCTGAACATCACCAAGCGTTCCGGTCCCAGCTGTGTGCGTCACTTTTTAGTGTCCCCTGGTCTCCCAGCTGTGTGTGTGTCACTTTTTAGTGTCCCCATGTCTCCCAGCTGTGTGTGTCACTTTTTAGTGTCCCCTGGTTTCCGTTGTGTTTTGCGCAGCGTTTTAGTAAATGCTGCACATGTTTTGTCATGTGAAGATGTGTCTTCCTGTGTTGCGGCTCATTTGTGTTTTTGTATGTGCATCGTTTTTGAAACTGCAGCGCGTTTCTCCTAATGGAAGTGTGTTGGGCCATTTCAACGTGTTTGCCCCTGTAGGCCACTGGTTACAACAGCAATGTGTTGAAATTAATAACCTGTCCCATGCTGTAAAACTAACTGCATGAATCTAAAGTCAACTTGCCTCCTCTACCATGAATAATTAATGATGGATGATACTTTTGATGGACAGATGAGTATTTTAGCATTCTGAGCCAAATATTAAAAGAAAACCCTGAAATGGAGCCCAGCTTGTGAGCCTTTCATTTTGTATTTTTTCAAGTGCAAGCTGTAATTGACAGAAGTGCTGGGACTGTAATGAGGATCTCTCACTGTCATTGTACCAGCAGCAATACTGAAACCAATTACAGACAAATGACACATTTAAAGTGTCTGCTGTTGACTAAAGCTCTACACGTATCATGCCCCTTTCACACCAACGCAGCTCCCGTTCTAGCTCCGTGGTTGCGCTCTTCTGATTCGGAACCGGTTTTTCTTTTCAGTCCCCGTTTTGTTCACAACGCCCAGAGCCCGAGTGGTGCTGCGTCATTGCGTCATCGTTTGCGTCATGACGTATATTTATCAGCTGCTGTGTGACAGTCAGACAGTGAATACTTTCCAGCGGCCGCTGCCGTGAGTTAACGGTAGATAAACTCCGGTGGATGAGCAGCACTGCAGCGGTAGGTAAATGCAGATGAACCACATTAATAAACAATGAACTGCTTCTCTGTGCTGCTGCGTAACGCCTCACTCGGTTCTCCCTCAGGTTACCACTGTTAGCTCTGTCCGTATTGTTTCCAATGTTTGCACTGTTAGCAGCCACGGTGAGAATCACTTGGAGGCAATCTCTGCTTTCCTAAAGAGCACCTTTAAATACTTCCACTGGAGCTTCTGCTTTACTGTCAAGCGGAAAATGTCGGCAAATGAAAACTTTACATCCATGTGATCCAATTAGGAGACTGTACCCTTCCTCAAATTAATGCATGAAACACACAGAAAAGCCATATTTCTAACATGTTATTTTCATCTGGGTTAATTGCTTGAGGTTTGATTAATGATTTTATTGAAATAGAAATACAGTATATATTATTGTGTTTCTCTTTCCAGTTAAAATGTGCACTTGAATGGAGACTTTTGGTTGAAGCCAAAGCAATCAACACAGGCTGCTTCTCAATGTCAAGGAAGGATCCTTCAGAGCCTCTATTTCAAGGATGCTACGTCATCAAATCCCGCCGAAGGACTGTTCCAATGTACAGGATCCTTGGAATTCTACCGAGGACTGAATCCTTCGTTGCAGAACATTTCAAGGCTGCTTATGTGTATCCTTGGCGGTCTTAAATGAATGAGGTTAAAATGTTAACATAGGTTCAGGAGCATGGCCACGCCTAAACCTCCGCCTCGAACCACGGCCACCCCTATTTATATCCGGCAAAACTTCCGGCCACTGCTCGTCTCCTTTCAAGGATCGACAGGCAGACCGTGATTCACGCCGCGCGTCGTCACGGTTCAAACTAACTAAAACGCTACCACGAGAACATTTGACTCACCATGGATCCCGAACTGCTGATCAACTCACCAGAGTCAGACGAAGATCTCTCCGACATCGGCTACCCGCCATCCACGTTTCAGCAGGTGGATCTAAGCAGGGGCGGACCTAGCACATTTGGTGCTCTAGGCGAGCTTCACCACTGCGCCCCCCCCCCCCAAAAAAAATCAAAACATCTTAACAGTTATACAGTAAAGTACTGCACCTTTATTTATTACAAGCAAGAGCTAAGAATAAATATAAAGTGCACACTAAATAATTAAAACAAACAACTTAGCTAACAAACAATAATAATAATAATAATAACAATAACAAACAATAAAAGAATGTGCAAATTTGCTTTCAAAGAAAATTTAGAAGAAATGTAAAATATGTTACACATGTCAAATAATCAATATATAATATGCTAAATAAACAAACAAATAAATAAAAATTAAGAACTATTTACATTCCACTCACTATCATCACACAAGGTTAGCCTACATATTAGCTCCTACTGGTTTCCATTTACAGTGCAATCCTTCTGGCCTTCCTCGCTGCAAAGTCATCAATCACATCATCATGTGAAATCTGACCACCAACCTCATGGTTAATACTGAGTACAGCCAGACCATTGAGGCGTTCTTGAGCCATGGTTGACCTCAGGTATGTTTTCAAGAGTTTTAATTTGGAAAAACTCCTCTCGGCTGAAGCTACTGTTACTGGTAGCGTTGCACTGATCCGCAGAGCAATACACAAGTTGGGATATATTTCGGTGAGCTGCTTTGTGTGTATGAATTTCAACAACTCAAGAGTTGTCATGCTCTTTGATGGCAAGTCAGGTACATTTTCCAACTCCTGAGCCAGCTCCTTCCCATACAAATCCGATTTCCCTCCATGGCTTAAGGTGTGTGCAACTGCCTCTGCTTGCTTCATCAGCTCTTGGTGTGGCAGGTCTGGGAAGTACAGAATGCCAAACTTGTCTTGCACATGTTTAAGAGTGGTAAACCTCTCCTTTTGTGCTGACACTGCAGCATTCACCACCACGTTAAGGAAGGTTACCTCCAGATTTTGCAAGGCATCCCTCAATGGCTCATCAGGAGACTCATATGAGAAGTGCCTCTTTGTTGACTTCAGCCGCTTTTGTTCCTTGTCAACTGATGCAGCAGGTGGTCCCAGATATTTTAAAAGTGAATCTAAAATGATATAACAAAATGTGTATTATCAACATTGAATAATTTCCATTTGTTAAATGTAGCTATTATTTAGTTAGTAAGCATTTGGACAGCCTGACAGGTCTGATTGAACTAATCAAGAGCTATGCCTATGTTATTAGAACAGTTGAACCAGGTGTGTTAGTTCTGGGTTGGAACTAAAACATTCAACAGGACTGGAGTTGAGAACCACTGAGCTAGTTAGCTAACGTTAGCGCACATTATGACAGGGTTGAATTTGGCAAATGTTTGACTCGGATAGTCAATGTGCTTTCTGAGGTAAACTTAACGTAAGCTAACGTTACCAACTAACTAACATTCCACCACACTGGCTAGCTCGCTACACCAAAACTAACATTGTTATTATTACTAATATTTCTATTTCATGACACAACGAAAATAGCCTTATGAC